AAATTAGAGACGTTTTAGAACTTTCGTTACTGAATACTTCGGCTAATCAAAAGGAAGATAAGGGAGTATATGTCATTTGACTTGAAATTAGACGCGAAATCGGGTGTCACTTTCTGTTTTGGTTCATCTTATCGCCACTCATTTTGTTTCTCAGGTCAATACGATCAGTTTCTGAGAGACAGACAGAAACTTGTTGAGCGAGTTGGCGGAATAGTGAAGTTTGAGGATCTTCTGCTAGCTGTTGAGCTCGAGGTAAGGACAAAAAGTACAGAACCTTTTTGTTAAGTCCTTCTAAATCTTCGCACTTGAGACAGTGAAATCCTAGTGACATGATCATTTTTAGTTTACTCAGAATTCATAGCTCACCTTGGAAAATGGTGATATCCTCTAGGGCTGTCTGAGAAAACGCAAAAAATGAAAACGCCGACACAAGTGAGAGGCTGGATGCCGTTGTGTACGAAAGATTTTAGAAATTTTAGAAGATCCTTGGTTCTAATTTTCTACAGAAAGCAAAAAAAGCAAAATCTTTCACCGTGTTTGTTTACTTCTCAATGAGCCTCCACCCCAGACAATCCCATAATCGGTCGCATGGCCGATCTCGATCTCAGTCTTTCCAACGTGAGATATTCAAGTGACGCAGGTTCGTCAAAATCATTTCATTCTCATCACCTTCGATAATGACTCTTCAACATTTAACTTAAGGTGGCTCAAAACAGTTTCCAGCGCTTAGATTTTGATGGATCGTTATAACCACTCTTTATCACTTGATGCTACATTCATGGTATCAAAAAACTGCCCAACCATTGGTGAACACGTTGTTATCGTTTTCGTACACAATAGGTTACCATGGCAACAGTATGACCTGCTAGAAACACCCTTAGTTACAGCTTTAGAGACTTAAAATTCAAAAACGGTACGGTGAAATTTTTTTATATAATCAACATTTGATAAGCATGATAACACGCAATTTTTGGCAAAGTTTAAAAAAATTCTGTACGTAGGGTTCAGTGCCACCTTGAATTTTTGAAAATTTAAGATGGCTCTGAACTCTAGCTAATTGTTTAAGAAGTTTCACACTGTTCGCTTTCGTGTCTGCACCCAGTATTACATGGGCTACGCGTTTCTGTAGTCTGAACACTTTCTGACGTCTACGGTTAGAGCGAAACCTCTGAAAGAGGAGAGGCAGGTGAAAACGAACACGAGTCTTCTCACTTGCCAAAAGACCAATTGCGCTAGGAGCAGCTGAACTAAAGCCAAAATCATTCACTGGGTCCAATTGCAGTATTTCAAGACAAAAAGAAGATAGATGAAAACCCTGGGAACAATGATAAGTTCATCTCAACTAAAGCCAAAAAGCAGATGACGAAGAGAAATAGATGGGGTCAGTGGAGCCGCGAGAAACAACCTAGACCGGATCCAGTTAAGGCCACTCTTGGCAAGAGGGCAATGAAAAAAGAGGTGCTCCGCAGATTCCATCACAGTCGAAATGGCGTATCCGAAAGACTACAAACGCTCAGCCATATACAAGACCCTGTGAGCTACATGTATCTTCCAGGAGGGATCGATAACCACTCGGTCAAGGGGCATATGAAAAAGTTGAGACCACGTGGCAGGCCAATAGAGGCTACCGGTCTGAATTTCTCCACACAATGAGGTACAACAGCATTCATCTGAGGTAAGCCAGCTTACAAGTGATTCGAAACAACAAAATGCGAGAATTTGAACCACCACTATAGGTTGGAGCTCCGGAAGAAGGATCACACGATCCTCTAGGAGACGTCCAGGCGTCGAAGACAGCCCCATAAAAAGGAGGCAAAAGCGCTAAGGAGAAAAGGGAAGGGGACTCAAGAATGGTTGGAAGGTAAATAGCAAAATGATCGAAAAGCCAATAAGGCAGTAATGAGATCCAGCCACCCTGATATTCCTGAGAGCGCTTTATCCACTGCTCCAAAAGGGCTTGAACTTTGAATTTGACAGATACAACAGAGAAGCCGCCAGAATCTTTCTTTTGAACAACAACATCGCGTCGGACTAAGTCTCTGTTACCAGCCCAAAAGAATTTTAAAACAAGTGAACTGAGCTTCGAGAGCACCCAATTGGGCATATGTACAAGGAAGCAACATACCAAATGCGAGAGAGAGCCAAGGCATTGGCAACAATGGCTCTGCCACTATACGACAGTGAGCGTATCTTCCAAGAAGTCAAATATTTCGAAACAGCGTCGATACGAGGATTCCAGTTGGCAACAACTATATCACCAAAGCCGATAAAGATTTACCAAGAACCTTTATCATATTGCACGACCAATCAATGGTGACCGGGAGATCTGAACGACTCCTCCAGGAGCCCAACCAAAGGCTCTTACATGTACTCAAATTAAGATTAGATCCAGAAGCTCTTTCAAAACGACTATAGGTATCAAAAACAGCCTTAATGCCAGAATCAGATGTCACAGTGGCAGAAGTGTCAACCGCATAAAGGGAGACAAGAGGCCAAGATACAGTAGAATTTGGGATCTTGATACTAACAAGATCAGAATGAGCTCTAAGATTACAATCTAAAACCTCCATGGTAAGCACATAAAGAAGAGGCGACAGAGGACATCCCTGTCTAACGCCTCGAGTAGGATAAAAGACAGGAGGTGAATAACCATTAACAAGGATCGACCACCTCGCTTTAGAATAAAGAACACGGACTCATCTAGTGAAGGAAGGGCCAAAGCCCATCTTTAAACTCGTGGATACGCGAAGCGTAGGAACGTGTTTGTTGCTGGGACTCCGATATGCAAATGTGTCACTCACTCACTCACTCACTCAGGTGTAGACACTGTTCGTAATACACCGATTCCAGAAAAAACCGGAAGTTGCACCGAAACGAGGCTTAATAGCCCTCGCGGTAATTA